GGTGCGATGTCGACTGAAAGATGTGGGATCTGTGGATCCAAGCCCCCTTAACGCAGTGTTTGTAAAGAGAAAAGAATAAATAAGGGGTTTCAGAGGGGGAATCATGGTTTCCAAAGAGTAGAGTTTCCTCGGGGAACATTGCAACGAGCATGCTGTGAAACGTATCTGCGGGATGGCAGGTCATTTCAATATGGTGTTCGTGTGGCAGGAAGAGGTTGGAGGAAGAATCCAGCGAAGTTGACCAAAGCCCCCGAGTATCGCCACTTCTAGGCAGTGCCAGGTACAAGCAACCAACGCCAGCCACGGCAAGCACTACTGGAGCTGACCGGCCTCTTCCTCCTCCTTCCCCCCCCTTTTCTCCATGGTCGACTTTCTCTTCCACCACCGGGGAGGTACTAAACCACACAACATCAACAAAGCCACCGATACATCGTTTTTGACGAGACACCATCACGTTTCTCTGGACATTGCGTACACATCCCAATGAGTGGACTACACCTGTCAAGACACCGATTACAACGGAGTACAGATGAACATCTCACCCTATAGAGCGAACCTTAAAGGAACATGTGCCACCAACTTTGGCAAGGTCAGCTTGCACAGACTCAAAGTCAGTAGGCTTGCGCTTGATTTGGGGCTGAGATATCCGGTCCACGCTACAGAGTGCCAATGGATCTTGCTACCTACACATCGAATACTTGTCCAGGGCTTCTCCTTGCAACTGCTTGGTATTCACGTCGGGCTGTCTGTCGCTGCTACTGCTGCTGCTGTCAGCCCTAGGAAGGGAGATTACCGATATCTGCATCATGTGACCAGTCTGTGCTGCGGTCATCGAGCGAATCCTCTCCACACAAGACGACTACAACGCCAGACCATCATGATGGATGTACGTTTCACGTTACGGCAGTGCTGTAGAGAAGACTGACGCTGCAGATCTGGGCAACTGCCAGCAAGGCTAGGATGTCGGCCTCTGATCAAGGAGGGCAGATACTGAATTTCCAACACGTCGAACGAAGGATGAGCAAGGTCGACAAGTGTCGAATAAGGTTGGAGG